AATGTTCCAAACTCACATTGGTTTCTCATACAGCATCTCTGTATAGTATGTGTATTCACTCTCTGTCCTAAACGGCTTGTTGGAGCTCCTGCCCCCCCCCCCCCCCCCCCTGTGAGCCCAGTGGCCGTCTGCGAGACCTGGCTGGGAGTTTGTGTGTGTGCCCAGGCTGAGTTCCGCAGTGTCTCGCTGTCTCGCAGACCCCACACCAGTGAGCAGACCCCACACCAGTGAGCAGACCCCACACCAGTGAGCAGACCCGACACCAGTGAGCAGACCCCACACCAGTGAGCAGACCCCACACCAGTGAGCAGACCCCACACCAGTGAGCCAGCTCACAGTGTCCCGCTCCTCGCTGCAGCGAGCCTCGCAACGTCCCGCCGAGTGTGTGTGTGTGTGAGGAAGTCCGCGGATTCAAATCAAATCAAATCAAATCAAATCAAATCAAGTTTTATTTATATAGCACATTTTTAAAACAATCTTTGGGTTAGGGTTTTTGGTCGAGCCAAAGTGCTGTACATACAATAAAAATACCTTACAATAAAGACACTTTTACAACAAATACAACAGCACAGTTTGTACAGAATATCAGTATGAGAAAACGACACCTTCTGTCCTTAGACCCTCACATCGTACAAGGAAAAACTTCCAGTTTGGATTGGTCCAAACGTAACGGCTCCTACGTTACGTTACGTCACTCTACCCGAAATACGTCACAACAGTATACCCAACAGTGGCGAGCCGTGAGCTTTATACCTAGGCCCTCTGACCCCCACCCCTTCCCTCGAAAAAAAGGAAAAAAAATAGTTATTACGTCACAGCGTATACTTCAGCGGAATATCAAAACAACGGCCCAGGGTGTAAAACGCATCAATGACAGCGACCCTCTACCACACAAAACAACACCTGTGAACCCAATTTGTGTTCTTTGACATTGAAAATGATATTGCATTGTGTTTGTTACTTTCGTTACAGTTGTATGTCTTACGTGTAATTTGGCATGCTTTTATTTTGAAGGCGAGTTCACGCTGTTGACAGGAAGTTGTTGTTCCTATGGAAACAAGAAAAGTTTCACAGCGGGCGGATCTTGTCATAAAGTCCGCGATAATGAAACCCACCCATTTAGAGGGAAGATATGATTGGTCAATTGTACTGTCATTTGACATTACTCTCTCGTTCAGTTACTATAGCGGGCCCTCTGTGAATCGCAGAGAGGGCCAGACCTTCTTTCATGTAACCCTTCACATTCAAACAGAGGCCGAACAGGCAGATTCGAAGGATTTATTTCTTTGGAAATGTTATTTTATTAAATCAAGTTTTTTTTCCGTAAAACTAATGAAAAATATAACAAAAATAATATAAAAAAAATATATATTTTTAAAAAATATTTTTTTTTTTAATGTTTTTAAATATTATTTTTTGGAATATCTTAGGCCCTCACAGAGGGCCTAGAGGGCCCTGACGGCTCGCCACTGATACCCAAGAAGTAAACAATGGAAAAAGAGAAATGTCCAACGAGCTGTCTGGGGCAGCATAGAGAGGTCTTTTCTGTGTTAGAGTTTTACTCGCTACAGGGTGTACTTTGAGGGTTTGTGACTCTGCAGACCGTTTACATGCAGAAGCTTCATAACACACAAGGGGACGGGTAATAACCAGAAAAGCATGACATGGGACCTTTAATGTTTGAGGTGCAATAAACAACACAGCAGCTTTTTGGCATGATAAAACTATTATTTTCCGCCTCGCTCATGAGAGTAACAGCTTGCGAAATTACTCGCCTACTGATTTTAATTTAACCATATATCGAGCCCGATCGTCGATTTCCAAAGATTTCATGTAATTGTTTGCCTGTCTGGCCATCGTGATCGGGCTCTTTGAAGATCAGAAAATCCACGGTTTTCAAACATTTCTGATCGGATTGGCAAAAACTTCAGAATTTGTATCGACCGCCATTCAAATGTTTGTTTGTTTGTAGCCTTTATTTATCCAGGTTAAAAAATCCCATTGAGATCAACGATCTCTTTTACAAGGGAGACCTGCAAATGACAGCTTTGTTTTCCCCCAAAAGTGGGCGGGGCCGTAATTATCGCCCGGAAGTGACGTAGGTGTTACTCTCATCTATATTAACACAGCATTTCACAAAACACTCAAACATTAAAAAAAAGCACTAAAATATTTGTTTGTAACCAAAAAAGTTTCAAATACACTGATATATTTTTTTTAATTAAGAAATACAAAATATTAAAACATTTAAAAATATTCAGTGAATTATTCAAAAAAGACTTAGACATTTAACACACAAAAAATATATTGATTTAAAACATTAAAAAATATAAACACACAAAAAAATCACACAAAACTTATTTAAAAAAACGTTAAAAAGTGAAATAAACAAAAATAAATTATAGACAAAAGTGAACTAGAGAAAGAAAATCATAAAAAGTCAAATAAGCACAATTTAAAAAGTCAGCTTTTTGAAAACCTCAAAACAAAACTCCACATC